GCATAGACTAAAGTACAAAGCGGTGAAAATCATTAAGAGGCAATCGTTCGATGGGCTGAATTACACAAAACGCATGATCGCACTGATCGCACCGGCTAGTCTGGTGCGCGTTGCTATTTATCTTAGTGCACCCCTTCGTGTTGCCCGTGCATCTGGTAACGTTTAATTGGTTGTCATGGCCTAAAACACATTTTCTGGTAGCGCCAGACTGCTAACCCTGCCACTGCCTCTCTACTACGCTTATTCTGCATTTTTATTAAATGTAAAAATAGATGTGTCGAGGAGTTAATGTTGCTAGCAGATTTTGACTGCAAGAGCACGCCATGTTGCGAAACGTCCATAAACTTTTTTTTTTGCAAAAGTAGTGTTTCCTGCTAAAATTTTAAAAATTTTTTTTTCCTCCTACCTTTTCCTTTCCCTTTTCATCGCATTCCCACTGTTTCTAATCCCACAATCAAATCGTTTTCCTTTCTGTTTCTTCCTTTCGCCTTCCTCTTTTCCTTTTCCATTAAGCACTGCAACCCGTCATACTGATGAGGTCCAGTCGCGGTGTTGAATTAAGACGTATATGATTTAATGGGCCTAAACTCTTGCCTTACTGTTACGTTCTTTTCTCACACTGTTTTTTTCTATATTCTATTGTGCATTTGCTATTTGGACTTTCATGGTCAATCTGATTGCTACAATCGGCTTACCAGGATCCTGTGGACTACTCAGTGTGCCCTCAATTTCATTACTTTCGTACCTCTGCATACCGAACTCAGTTACGCCAAGTCCCCTTCTCCAGCTGCTTGCATCAGTATCGTCCTCTCTAATATGTTTCTCGCAGTCTCCTTAGAGCGTTTCTTGTGGATATTGCTTAGAGGTTTTCAACATCCACTGGTTATCAGCTCAATGCATTTCTCTTCCTTTCGGAACTGCAAGGATAACCTATCTCCTGTTTATCTACTGGGTAAGGTACAGTCAGTGTTCCTGGTTTGACAATGTAAAGTTTTCACTATATCTGTGATATGATCACACACTGGGATCCTGTGAGGCTAAACTAATCTGCGAAGCCGAGTTGCTGTCCATAGATTCGTAGGTATTACCTTAATTGCATTGTCGGAAGCCAAAAGCCTTCCGTATTTGCTGCTTGTAAAGGGTGAAGACCCGAGGGGTAGTAGATGTTTTGACAAGGCTGTGTATGTTCCCCTCTTTCAAGGGTTGCTTACGAGTGGGCTAGAGACGGATTTGATCCCGTGCCATCAGAATGGCTGAATTGATTGCTGAGAAATTGATTGTCCTAACGGCGCAATCGAGAACAGTGCTACTGCTGCGTCAGTGCACCAGCAGTTTTTAGCTTATGGATATCAAAAAAAACAAGAATTCCTTTCCAGCGCTTAAGCGAAACATCGATATCAGCACAGAGCGCAAAAATGAGCACAAACGATGGCGCACGGCAATTGATGACTATGCGC